TTATAAATCATCATCATCATCATCAATCAGCCCTGAGTTGTCCATTGTTGAACATAGGCCTCCTCTAGACGTTTCCATCTGCTTCTGTTCTGCGCCTCTGCTATCCAATTGGTCACGATTCTTTTGAGGTAGTCGGTCTTTTGCGTTGGGGGTCTTCCTCGGCTTCGCTTGTCAGTCCGTGGTCTTCACTCAAGCAATTTTTTTGTCCAACTGTCGTCTTTCATTCTTGCAACATGTCCTGCCCATCTCCATTTTTGCCTTGTAATATGTTCGATAATGTCTTTCACTCCGGTTCGTCTACGAACTTCCTCGTTTCTTATTCTATTTCTTAAGCTTATTCCAAGCATTCATTTCTCCATTTTTCGTTGTGTCCTTCTCAATTTTTCATTACATTATGTACCTTTTGTATTGGTTGTTCGATGAGCTCTGGAATAACTTGACTTTTATATAATGTTTCATATAAACTTTCCACTATATGTAATATGCTTGGTCTATTTGAGTTAATATTTCCATTTTTGTCTTTAGGTTGAAAAATTTCTTTTTTGCCATTTTCCATTTTTCTCCTCAGTGCTTTCATGCTTTTGTTGTCTTCTATAGTTTTTATAATTTTCTCGTTGTTGTATTTTCTAATATCCCGTCTGATGGCTTTAGAGATTTCTTTATTGATGCTGTTTATATCTTGTGAGTCAACATTTCCTTGACTTCTAAGCATTCTACGATCTTCCATTTTTTGTTTCGTTTCTTTACTAATTTTTTGTTCTTTTCCATGTTTAGGGCCAAATTTTTCCTGAGCTTGTGTTAATGTATCTACTATTTCTTCGTTTAGGTTATTTACGTCTTCTCTTGTTGTATTTCTGAGTAAGTTACTGGTGAAATATTTTTCAAAGTCAAGTTCATTCGTTGGGCGCATCCAAGGTTTGAATTTTTTACTTTTTATCATCTTCAGTCTTTCTTGCTTAATATTGATTTCTACAGTTGCTCGGACCATTCTATGATCGCTTGCAACCGAAAATTTATTTAAAACTGTAACATCTTTGACTATATGTTTTTTGTCAGTGATGATGAAGGGATGAAGGGAAGATAAGAAATTATAAATAGGGTTGGAAAAATACAACAACCATGTCGTAATCCTTTATTGAATAAAAACTTTTTTTAAACTTTTTGGTCTGTCAAACGATTACTGTGCTCTTTGTTTTTTATACAGGGTTACTGTTTATAGAGGGATGTTATCTATGTGGAATAGCCTAGGTCTAAAATCATTTTGTTCTTCGGCATTCTAGGTTTTCTGCTGGATTCCAATTTTTACAAATTATGCTGGATGTGTGTATATAATTTATCAAATATAAATATTAACTTTATTCTAGGCAAAGATTTATGCAATCTTATCCAGTGTAAGAGCAATTAGCATGAGAGGTTTCAAACTGAAGCGATTCATTATATGTACAGATAGCCGAGTAGGCATAGAGGCATATTTTCTAGGTAGACTTAAGCCTAATGTGTTTCCGCCAGGTAAATATTTATTTGCTATGGCAAGTGCTTCCAACAGGAAAGAAATAGCGTAAATCATTTTTGTTAAGGTATCCGCAATTATCTCTCTCAAAAATAACAAGGAATTTCAGCAGCAAAGGTAAGGAGTTTTACTTAAGAAAATAGTCAGGCCTTTTTCAACTTACTTAAGAGCATTTTGCCTAAAATTAAGATAATCGAGCAACGATCTACAATGAGGACAAAATTGAATTCATTTCAGTTTATTATAAACATTTAGAAATAAGCTTACAAGGTATAAAGCAGGTTGCTGTATTAACTGTTTCGAAAAAAGGTTTTCTGATAACAGTTGTGATATATTTTGAAGGCCAAAAAAAACTCTACAGCTTGGCCTAAATCCAGCTTAAAATAAAGAGTAGCACCATTAGATTTTTTTATTCTGAGATAATACACATACAATGAAAATAAGTTAAATTAAATACAATTGGAAAAATAGAACAAAATTGGACAAAATAAAAGAGACTACGTTTTATGAAATCAAGAAAACCCATGTAATGATGCAATCAGTACTGTTAAAAAATATTTAAACAAGTATAACATATTTATATTCATATTTTTACACCTTCTTAAAAAATATATTATTCTTTTATAATATTCGTTTAAATTAAACCGTTAAAACATCTCGCATGGTACTGCACTGGAATACTTTTTATTGACATTATCTTTAGACATTTATTAATTCGTTCATGATATGGGTACCGCAAGGTTAACTTCGAAGGCCGATTCATTGTTTACTAGTAGTACGAGTCAACTGTATTTTGTATAATTTAGACATTAGCATGTTTCTAGGTTTTTGTTTGTTATTGATTAATTTTTAAAAATAAGTTATGTTGATTGAAAAATATCAATAACTCTACAAGGTGGTTGAATGCATACTTTATATTGTTAAAATAATTAAATGATGCATCGATGTACTTGGGCAAATATAGATTTTAAAATTAATTATTTATTACTGACATATTTGTATAAGAGATTTCGTTTGTTTTTAAATGTATGAAGGATTTTGATTTATGTTGACATTATTTTCTCTCTTAAATAAGTTTAAGTAGTAAACACAATTATTGTGCTCTGTGTTGTTTTGCTATAAATTAAGTAAAAATAAAGTGCAGAAAGTATAATTTGAGTTTTACACCAGAGAAATTATGAAATAAAAAGTATTTTTCGTGAAATTCTTTAATACAGGTATTACAGTACTGGAACACAGTAAACTTAAACGAAAAAACTATTATTCTCATGTTTTTTCTCAATTTTCTTCCTCTTTAGTAAATTTTTCTTTGGGATTTTAACGACAAAATGTTACATGCATTCTTAAATTTAAAATTGAGGCTATGAGAGCAAGAGTGGGCTAAGCAACATTTTGTTGGTAATTGAGTTATAGATTGCAATCACTTCTAACTATCTAAAGTTTTAAAGCAAAACCGGTCTAACCATCATTTCCATAACATAAATCTCTCCACTAAGGTGATTTTGCATTATAAAAAATAACAAAAATTTGAAAACACGATAACCGACGAAGTTGTGGAATAGACCAAAATTGTTCAATACATAAATACGTAAAAGAATGCAAGATTGGGCTAACCATCCTCTTTGTAGGATACAGACGTTTGTGTTAAGGTGGAAATTAGACTGTGTAGTGAGTCCCTTTCTTTTTAATCGTATCCTCTCTTTGCGCTTGGTGATGTGCTATGGTACAAGGTACCTACCTACGTGTTCTGCGTTTGTTATATTATATTAATACAATTTTATTTTAGACTGAGAATTTGAAACAAAAGGAAAGTCACAATATTTATTAATATAGCTCTCAGTTCTCAACAGTCCAAGCAAAAAAACATGAATTTGAAGTAGAGGTTCACCAACGAAAAGCAGACTGTGCTAGATGTGGTATGAAACAAGATGCAGAATATGCAAAACAAAACCCTGATGAAATTACAGTGATTCTTCTTCTTCAAGTGCCGTCTTCGTTCCGAAGTTTGGCTATCATCAAAGCTATGCGTATTTTTGATGCTGCAGATCTAAACAGTTGGTAATTGGTGCAATTGTACCATTCTCTCAAGTTTTTCAACCATGAATGCCTTCTTCTTCCTATAGATCTCTTTCCCATTATCTTTCCCTGTATAATCAATTGCAGCAACTGGTATTTATCTCCCCTCATAACATGTCCCAAATATTGTAGTTTGCGCTTTTTAACAGTAAGTATCAGCTCTTTCTCTTTCCGCACTCTCCGCAAAACCTCCACATTTGTTACTTTCTCTGTCCAGGGTATTCTTAATATTCTACGATACATCCACAACTCAAATGCTTCTATCTTTTTTGTATCGATCTTTTATCAATGTCCATGTTTCCATCCCGTAGAGGAGAACTGGCATAACGTAACATCTCAAAAGGCGAATTTTAAGTTTTAGACTTAGATCTCTTCCGCAGAACACCTTTTTCAATTTAGTAAATGTGGCTCTAGCTTTCTCTATTCTGGTTCTGATTTCTTCAGAGCTATCATTATTTTCGTTGATAACAGTTCCCAGGTAATTATATCTTCTTACACGTTCGATTCTTTGATCATGCACGGTTATGTCAGGGAAGTTTTGTGGTGATTTAGATATTAGCATTATTTTTGTTTTGCTTATTTTAAGTGATAATCCGTGTTCTTCACTGCATTCTACTATTTTGTTAATTAGTATTTGAAGATCTTCCCAAGTTTCTGCGATTAGTACCGTGTCATCGGCATATCTCAAGTTGTTTATTCTGATGCCATTTATCTTAATACCTATATTTTGATCCGAAAGTGCTGTGTTTATAATGTCTTCGGAGTATAGATTGAATAAGGTCGGTGAGAGTATACAACCCTGTCTTACGCCTTTCTTGATCTCGATTTCCTCCGTTGTCTCTTGCTTTATTCGGATATTTGCTTTCTGGTTATAGTAAATCCTAGAGATAATTCTAATGTCCCTTTTATCCAAGTTTTTTTCTACTAGCAGTTTCATTAAGTGATCGTGACGAACTTTATTAAACGCTTTGTTGTAATCAATAAAGCACATATATATCTTGGTTTATATCTAGACATCTTTGGCATATGACGTTAAGTGCAAATAGTGCTTCTCTTGTTCCAAGCCCGTTCCGAAATCTGAATTGAGTATTACTAATATCTGCATCTAGTTTTCTGTTAATTCTTGAGTGGATTACTTTGATGAATACTTTTAATGTATGCCCCATTAAGCTTATAGTGCGGTAGTCAGTGCACTGTTTTGCATTTGCCTTTTTTGGTAAGGTTACAAAAGTTGAAAGTAGCCATTCCTTTGGTATTTCTCCTCTTTTGTAGATGCAGTTAAAAAGGTCGAGTAGAATATTCACTGATTCGCCTTCCACAAGCTTAAGAAGTTCTGATGTGAGCCCGTCTGGACCCGGTGATTTACCATTTTTCATTATTTTTATAGCGTATAATAGTGATTGCATTTGACTTAATGCCAACATTGCCCACACCAGTTATCAGCACTGGAATTTCTTACTATAAACGCCAGTTGTGGACTTACGTCTTAGGAGTCCCTAATTTAGCAACTAATAATGCTTATATGTATGTTTTGAACGAGACACAAGCATCACGAGGACCCCAAGAAATACGATCCTGTTTACTGCATTATTTTAAAAATGTTGTTACAACAAAAAATGTAATACTATATTCCGATGAATGCGGAGGGCACAACCGTAACATTAAAATGGCTGTCCTTTGCGATTTTATTGTGTCATATCCTGATATTCTGGTGGAAAATATTGATCATAAGTTTTTAGTCAGCGATCATTCTTACCTTGCCTGTGACCAAGATTTCGGAGTAATAAGTAAGCAAAAAAATGTTTTTAAAGATATATAGGTACGTACCTGATAACTGGATAAAGGTAATAGCACATGCACGAAAGAAAGCACATTTTACGGTTATAAAGATGACAGAAAACGATTTTTATTCTACTAAGAAGTTAAAAATAAATATAACAAATCGCAAACTTGATACACAAACATCAAGAGTCCAGTGGTTGCAATACAAGAAAACAAATCCATTTACAATTTACTACAAATTGAGCAATAATGCAGATGTTTTCTTTTACTTACTAGATGTCAAAAAGAGGACATCCAGGGAAATACTTCAGGTAGATTATCTTTATCCCAATGGACGTCCAATAACCGAAGCAAAAAAAAGATCTCTTGGAATTACTTTCATTTTTATACCTCCAATACATCATGAATTTTACACAAGCACCAGAACAATAAGATCCACTATACAGCAAGAAGAAGAGTTCATTAACGATGGAGATTAAGTATTTTTGTTAAATACTTTTATTTTTTTTTTTTTTATTTTTATTTAGTTTTTTAATAAAGCATATTTTCAACATTGATGTTTTTTAATTATATTGTACTCTAGGTCTAATCTACATTCCTATTGAAATTTTTAAGGACACACTGATGCAAAAACGGTCTAATCCACAAAAAACAGTTTAATTTTTTATATTTTTGTTAAATATACTGCAAGATCTTCGAGTTTTTTGTTATTAGTTAATGATTTGTAAACAAGGACTACCTTTTGGCATCATATTTTAATTTTATAAAATTTTAAAAAATCGCATATATTCTTGGTTCATGTAAATCCATTATTCAATATTTGGTGTTAGCCCACTCTTGCTCTAACAGCCTCAATTGTAACGCGGATATTAACTAAAACTAAATGAATTGATAATAATTTTTATATTTAACAAATAAATTCAGTAAATTTACATAATGTAGAATCGAATCTTCTATATTTAACGTAGCTTTACACTAAGATACATAAAATTATCTACAATTTCGTTACATTATAATTTCACTTTCTAAGCCTTTTATTTAATAGAAACACGCTTTCACTTGGAAAAGTATGTGCGATTTATACAGATGCCAAAAACTTAAACATGTAACAAATCGTAAAGTGTTATGTATATGTTTTTATTTATGGGATATTAAAGTTACTCAAACGTAAATCAAATTTAAAAATCTTTTAACAATGATTATTAACAATAATACTAGACTTGCTTTTTATACGTAAAAGTCTCTGGACACTGAAGAAAGGACATTCGTTGTCTTGGACTTAAATATTGAGTTGATATTATGAATGAAATGTTCAACACTATTTTTATACCAGTGCCTAAGTATTTGTATATCGTGAATGGAATCTGGTGAAATTACATTTGAATGGACTTAAATATAGTCTATGACGCTAAGAAATAAAATGGTTGTAACTTTTTTTTATTCCCATTATTCCAAATTATTCCACACAATGGAGTGACTAGAAGACGACATAACTTCGATCTTTATAGAATATACCAGGAACCTGATATTGTAAAACATAGTAAGATAGGACGTCTAAGGTGAATAGGGCATGTAATGCAAACGGAACAAAATTACCCAGTTACAAAGACGCTCCTTGATAGACCCATTGGTTAGAGAAGAAGAGGAAGACTTAGAGCAAGGTTCCTTTATAACATCGATGAAGATATAGGAAATATGGGAATACGTGCTTGCCGGAGGAAGGCGATGGATAGAAACGACTGAAGAGAAATTCCTGAGAAGGCTAGTACCCACGCAGGGTTGTAAAGCTAGAATGATGATGATGATACAATTCGCTGGATTGAATGAAAATATTATAGTCTATAATGCCAAGAAATGTTTAAGATTACAGTTCAAAATACAACACTTGAGGTTACACACTAATAACGAAAAGCGAATAATACCTGGAAGCAGTACAGCACTAACCTAAATTATATATTTACTGGAAAACCAACTTATAGCCTTCAGACAAACAAAATTCCAGATCTACTAGAGTTTTCTATAGTCAACGATATACCAATTAAATAAATGTGATATTAAATAAAACTCTTACCTTTGATTTTGACCTTTTAACTTAGATTTTATTCACAGTCCAATCATCATAAATATTAGTACTGAAAGTCTACAAAAAGATTTGCTGTGTACTAAAAAAACTGTGTACACTAAATTAAATTTTAACATCACGCTAAAAACATTAGAAGATATTAAAAAAGCAGTTCTCGAATTTTTGAACACAATTTTACATATTAATCAAATGAGAAACAATGTACCTATATTCAGAAAGGATAATATGGGAGCTCTCAGGATACATACTCTGGCAACACATACAAAATTCGATAAGCAACAGAAATGTTATCTTTTTCAGGGCAACGTGAACAGAAAAAAAAAAACAGAGAGAAGAAGAATTTCTTGGTTCCAAAACCTGAAAAAATTATTCAACTTATCTGCAACCGGACTATTCTAAATAGATGCCAACAAAGTAAGGAGCCATGTTAATCAATATCATCCGGGACGGATAGGCACCGCAGGAATAGAAGAAAATATTTTAACATTAAAATGGATAAAGATCGTCGAAGATATTATCTAATAAAAGTTGGCGTATCCAAACATATGTCTTGAGATGTTTACTGTAGTTAAAGCATCACCAGCATCTAAAAGTTGCCTCAGAAATGCTACAAACACATGTTAATATGATACAAAAGGTTCTACAAAAAGTGGATAATAAAGTTAATACCGACAAGCAATACCAACAAAAAATGAAGTTAGTTACAATTAAAAACCAGACAAATTAATTGGCTTCTTGGTAAATGATCACATAATGCTAAATGTCAAAATAGAAAATAAATACAAAACTTAATATATTTATTTAAATATTTATTTGTTTAATTAACATATTAAAGTACCATCCAAACTGAAATCGCCTACTCAGATTTATATAAATTATTTTCCAAGACTCTTTTTGTATGAAACATCTTAAAAACATTTTGAAAGTGAAAGAGAATGTTGAAGAACAAATGTAACCGCACCACTGTTAATGGAATTTGGAAAAGAAATTCTCCGACTTGGCAATAAAACCAATTACAGAAACTGGTATGCCGTGAACTGAGAAGTCCTGAACAATATCTGTCGTTGCAAAAATGCTGAAACACCATTCATCAATTTTTTATTTTCCCGCATGTCGAGATGTACCAAAGATTACCGTTTTAGTGTTAGTTCCCAAGAACATTATTTTTTAACCTTGCTGATACTACCTTAGATATAGTTGGTAGTATACAAGGAGAGAATAATTTAGGTAGTGTATAGAAGCATTAAAAACAATGCAAGTGCGTTTAAAAATTACAAACAAGGGAAGGTTAAGTTAGAATTTTCAATATAAACAAAGTCTCCACTCTCGAAATATGTTTTAGAACAATAAACACTTAATTCATTAAAAATTGAATTGGTCATCAAAATTTACATTTAACTATAGTGTATATTGAACAATGTTCTTCGTTTTAAACTAAACACAAACCAACTCTTCACAGATTTCCATAAAAAAATATTACATAGACCACGGGAGTCTAATCAGTGTAACACAAGTTTAGGATATTGTCTAAAGTATGACTTTGAGGGATAGAATCGAAAAAAGAAGCTAAAGATATTCTATTATGCTGGATATACCATGATAAGCAATGCCAGTATTGATAATAACAATCATAGAGTTAGAAATATTATGGTACTTACCAATATGTATTCAAAAGCGACAGGCTTCTGAATATGCTGAAAGTACTGTACTGTACGTCCTTACTTACTTACTTACTCCGTGGCGTTACAACCCTTCGTGGGTTTTAGCCGACTCGACAACATGCCTCCACTGTTTTCTATCTTGAGCAACCTCCATCCAATTCTCCACGCCCATAGTGCTTAGGTCTCCTGCTATATTATCTCGCCACCGGAGACGAGGGCGTCCGCGTGGTCTCCTTCCAGTTGGGATTTCCTCCCACACCAGTCTTACTGTTCGTTCTTCAGAATGTCTTCTGAGGTGTCCTGCCCATTGGAGTCTTCTGGACTTTATTTCTTTTATGATGTTGGCGTCTGGGTAAAGTTCTTCAAGCTCTTTATTAGTTCTTATCCTATATTGTCCTGATGCTTCATCAAGCACCGGACCAAAGATCTTCCTTAGGATTTTTCTTTCCCAAACACGTAGTCTCTCTTCATTTGCCTTTGTCATCGTCCACGTTTCGCTTCCATACATCACAACGGGTCGTATGATTGTTTTATAGACCTGTATCTTCGTACCTCGTGTTAGTTGTTTTGATTTTATAAGGTTTTGGAGGGCAAAAATACATCTGTTGCCGGCCTGAATCCTGTTGTTTATTTCTTGTGATCCGTTATTGTCTTCAGTTATTGTTGTTCCAAGATACTTGAATTCTCTAACGCGCTCAAAGTTAAAGTCATCGATGGTAATGTTCTGACCGATTCTGTCTCTGCTTTGGTTATTGCGGCTCATATACATATATTTCGTCTTATTTTCGTTGATTTGGAGCCCCATCTTCTCTGCTTCCTTCTCAAAGCTTACGAAAGTCTCCTTCATCCTTAATCGCGTGTTTCCTATTAGATCTATATCGTCTGCAAATGCCAGTAGTAAGTTTGGTCCTTCTAGATGAAATACTGTATTCGGTTTTTCGATTCTTGCACTTCTGATTATGTGCTCCAGAGCTAAGTTGAAGAGTTGTGGTGAAAGTGCATCTCCCTGTTTTAGTCCATTGTTTATTTCAAATGTCTCCGAGTATTGTTGTCCAACTCTCACCTTACATCGTAACCGTTCCATACACATCCGTATTAACCGGACTAGTTTTTTTTGGAAAGCCAAGTTCCTGCATCGCTGTCCACAGTCTGTCCCTACATACTCTATCAAATGCTTGTTTAAAATCTATGAACATCTGATGAAGCTCACGATCAAACTCCCAGCATTTTTCCATTATCTGTTTTATTGTGAATATCTGGTCAATTGTAGAGCGGCCCGGTCTAAATCCGCATTGATAATCTCCAACGATTTCTTCTGTGTATGTTTTGGTTCTTTCTAGCAGGATGTTTGAAAGGATTTTGTAGGTGGTGTTTAGGAGTGTTATTCCCCTGTAGTTAATACATTGCTTTTTGTTTCCTTTTTTGTGTATTGGTACAATAACCCCTTCTTTCCATTCATCTGGCATTGTTTCTTCTTGCCAAATGTCTTGAATTAGCTTGTATATCGAACTGTACAACGCTTCTCCTCCATGTTTTAAG